CGGACGAGAAGCGCAGCGTCGCGTCGCGCCACATCTTTAAAATTCAAATACATTATTTTCTATGAGTGTAGGCACACCTGCTGCGCCGTTCGGGGTCTGTCCGCGGCGCCCAGCTACATACATTGTGTTGTACTTGTAAGAATTGTTCTAGACATGCCGAAAATGTGAAGCTACAGCACAGCAGCTCTTCTTCTTCGTTTTCTCTGATGCACTAACTCTGCAGCAGCACTTCTTCTTCGTCGTCTCGTCTGATGCACTCACTCAACCAAGCGTTCTAACCACTCGTTGTAGTTCTTGAAAAGGGATTTTTTTTAAACGAAATATCTCCCTTTGGAGTGGACTTTGAGTCTTTTTGAGACTTTTTTATGCCCAAACATACACACTACACACTGACTAAAATTAAAAAAGTGAAAAAGCATAATAGGACCTCTTTAATATTGGATGGACAATAAAACAAGTGTCATGGATGCATTTTTTCAAAGAATACCACACTGTTTGTATCGTATATGTTTTTCTCTTGACCTAGTTATGGTTTATCTGTGTTATTTTTTTTCAGAGCCTGCACTAGACAACGTTTGATGAGTGGCTCTTTTGAGGGTCAGCCAACAAAAGAGAGATCCATACTCAGTGTCCAGCACCACATCCGCCAAGAACGCCGGTTAGGAAAGCACATTAACATGCTTTCACATACTCATCTATTTAATTTATATAAGGATCAATGGATGGATTTATAGTCATAAAATGCACTACATTATGCTAGTGTGTTAACCTGCTCTTTTTGGCACAGGTCCCTCAGACATGGCTCTACAAGCCAGAGAATCAGTAGAGGGAAATCCCTGGAAACACTCACTCAGGATGTGCGTACACACACACACACACTCAGATATCACCGATTAATAACTGACAGCACTATCTGTGACTATCTGTGATCTCTGACATGTGTGTGAACTCTTCAGCACTCCAGCACGGTCCGCTACCGTAACGCCCAGCGGGAGGACAGTGAAATCAAGATGATACAAGAGAAAAAGGAGCAGGCTGAGATGAAACGGTATTTCTGACACTCCATACACTTGCCTTGGCATGCGGTCAGTCGAACAGATCTTATCCCCCCAAACAAAACATGCCATGTGGGAGTTATTACACCATATCTTTCTCTTCTACTGTATGCTGATGGTGGCATAGTGCCATCGGTGTATGACAACAAGACATATTGCAGGGAAGCAAAGCTTTTGTTTTAGGTCGGCTGTATTTATTTGCTGTGTTCAGGGGGCAAGGAGGGACTGTAAAAGAGAGATCAGATCACATTTTAGCTGATTTACAGATACAGTACACTAAAAGAACTAGTAAGGTCCCTTCTGTGCATCCTATATCTTTCTATCTTTTCCATACTTTAATAAAACTAATAAAAGCAGTGTTTGCTGAATATGAGATTTCAAAATGATTTATTAAGCCCAGAATTTCTTTTCCCCAGAAAAGTACAAGAGGAGGAACTCCGGGAAAACCATCCATACTTTGACAAACCACTCTTCATCGTTGGTAGAGAGCATCGCTTCCGAAACTTTTGCCGAATGATTGTGCGGGCCCGTTTCAATGTGTAAGACCAAAGCAAATACAAATCCACTGCAGTATATTATGTTACAGTAGCATTTTCATACGCCTCAATGAGATGACTAATCCTTTTGTACCATAATCACTGAAAAAATGCCATGTTGTTTCACAAACTGTTGTGTGTGTGTATGTGTGTTAATGGGCTTTTTATGAATAGGTTAAAAATGGATCCCAATACAGGCGCAGTGAACAGCACAAAATACCATCAATTATAGTAAGTCCATAAATGTTTAGGGCCGTCGCACCATGATAACCTGGTAATATACACAATTTAGTATATAAAAAAAGGATTGCAGCTTACACCGGCATCTTTCTTTTGCAATAAATCATCATTTAAAATGTATGTAATGTAAATTAAATAATAATATATTATTTAAATTGTAAAATATGAGTACATTAGGTAACACTTTATTTTACGGTGTCCTTGTTACAGGTTACATGTACTTACTATTATAATAACAATAAATTATACATAATTACATGCAAGTAACCCTAAGGCAAACCCTAATCCTAACCCTAACCATATAGTAAAAGCCCAGAATTTCTTTTCCCCAGAAAAGTACAAGAGGAGGAACTCCGGGAAAACCATCCATACTTTGACAAACCACTCTTCATCGTTGGTAGAGAGCATCGCTTCCGAAACTTTTGCCGAATGATTGTGCGGGCCCGTTTCAATGTGTAAGACCAAAGCAAATACAAATCCACTGCAGTATATTATGTTACAGTAGCATTTTCATACGCCTCAATGAGATGACTAATCCTTTTGTACCATAATCACTGAAAAAATGCCATGTTGTTTCACAAACTGTTGTGTGTGTGTATGTGTGTTAATGGGCTTTTTATGAATAGGTTAAAAATGGATCCCAATACAGGCGCAGTGAACAGCACAAAATACCATCAATTATAGTAAGTCCATAAATGTTTAGGGCCGTCGCACCATGATAACCTGGTAATATACACAATTTAGTATATAAAAAAAGGATTGCAGCTTACACCGGCATCTTTCTTTTGCAATAAATCATCATTTAAAATGTATGTAATGTAAATTAAATAATAATATATTATTTAAATTGTAAAATATGAGTACATTAGGTAACACTTTATTTTACGGTGTCCTTGTTACAGGTTACATGTACTTACTATTATAATAACAATAAATTATACATAATTACATGCAAGTAACCCTAAGGCAAACCCTAATCCTAACCCTAACCATATAGTAAGTACATGTAGTTAATTAATATTACTCAGTACTTAAATATATAATTGCACTGTAACAAGGGCACCTTAAAATAAAGTGTAACCGTACATTAATTATGAAATAATGGAAAAATACAAAAAATGAAGAATTTAGGGGGAGAAATGTGCTTAATTGTCATGAAAATAATGTCAAAATAATTGTATTTCTTATTTTTTCCTGAATATTTTTGGGGTTAAAATATGACCTGCACATGCTTTCTTGAGATTCCTCATTTATATGTCTGTTTTGATTCTAGAAATGTAATATGAGAATGGGCTTTGGAATGTTTTGATCTGTAAGACACGCCAGGGTGGGTTAGTGTGGGATTAGATGGAAACTTTTGGGCTTCAGTGTCCTAGCAGGATTTCACTAGTTTCAAAAGATCTGCAAAATTAAAGGGGTCATATGATGTTGCTAAAAAGAACATTATTTTGTGTATTTGGTATAATGAAATGTGTTTATGCTGTTTAAGGTTCAAAAAACACATTATTTTCCACATACTGTACATTACTGTTTAAAATGTGCTGGACACATCTGAATATTTGGGTTGAACTGTTCTGGAACAGTGTTGTAAATACAACTTAACCACTGATTTCTAGTCGTGTCCTCTTTTGGAAGACCAAACAAAGTATTTTTGCTTTCACAACGAAACACACTGCGTCACACACGGTGGGCTAGAGTAAGCGGCGGCGGGCTAGAGAACGGCGCGGCCGGCGGGCTAGAGTAAGCGGCGGCGGGCTAGAGAACGGCGTGGCCGGCGGGCTAGAGTGAGTGGCGGCGGGCGGGCTTGAGAACGGTGCGGCCGGCGGGCTTGCGGCAACCACATGTGACGACCCCGGGCTGGACTCCGCT